CTGATGGGAACGAGGGGAAAGCTACAATAAAATAGGGGTTTCAAAGCAGGTGTCTGAGAGGCAGTCCCAGGCTAATGGTGGTCCCGTGGAGAAGAGAACCCCCACCAGAAGCTGGCTCTGAAATGATCAGGGAAAATGTCAGGAGCCTCGGTTACCCAAGGGCAGCAGGGACAGGGGTGGAGGGCAGATCAGGTGATCACTCAAATCCCTAACAGTGTTTGAACCCAGGACTCTGACTGCGGAGGCTGGAGAAATCACTGCGTCCCAGTGACATTAGGAGTAACCTTACAGCAAGTTCGTCTGCCTCCAAAGCAGCTCCAATACAAAGACAGGATTGGACTGAAACATGATTCGATTCCAATTTCTCGCCAAGTTTCTAATTCTTTCCGAAAGATAACAAAATCCAAAGTCTCTTATGATACAACTGATCCTTTTTGCAAAATTTTAATCTGAGAACAATTTTGTTGCCAGTTACCTACCAGTGAAACTGACCAAAAACCTAATATACAACACAGATTGTTCAAATCATGCTGTAAAGTACGACCTTTATTTCATAGTTAGTATCCATCTGTCCTCAAAAAAAATAGTTGTCTCTGGCAGATTTTTAAGTCCGTATATATATATAATTCAGATGGTCAAAACACTTCCGATTTTAAATCTAAGGAAAGTGTTATTTTCCTCTCATCCATCTCTCACTAAGAGATAAGAGAGTATTTGTGTGAGCTTTTCACACAAATTAAAGGTAACCTTACCATACTGTCATTCTGGACCATTCTAAGAAGCTAAGAATCAAACCTAAACTCGGGACAGGGACTAAAAAGGTGTTATGTTACGGGGATTTGTTAGATGATGTGATTAGAGTTTTCATGGGTTTTTAAAAAACTCTTTCAAAATTTCTTTAATTTTACTTTTTCTCCTTTTTGATTAAAAAAAAAAAAAAGGTAAAAATCTCTATCTGGTTTCTTCCAGCAAGATCCTTTTACCTTATTAGTCTCAAAAAATACTTTTTGTCTCTTTACCAAGAAAAGCACTCAATGGTTTCACCGTACTTAATATAGTTTGGAATTAACAGCCCTGTTTGCTCATGTGTTTATCCAGCATCACAGACGTCAGCACACACGGCAGACTTCTGAGGGCAGCAGGCTCTGCGACAGGAAGGGGGCAGAGGCAGGAGGAGCCACCCCAGCAAGCCCGTCCTAGTGGGATTATTTTGCCTCAGGTGCACTTGAGTTGTCTGCTTGCCCAGCAATCGGCTGCACATCATCAACTTTCTCAAGGGGCTCACGCAGTGGTATCCTGTTTGAGAGCAATTCACTCCAATTCCAGTGTTTTTATTTAAGGCCTAGATGTACAACAGACACTGCTGTTTACCGCAAAACCCAATTCGTGGATGAGGTTTCAGGAGAAAAAAGGGAAGGCTGGCTTGTTAACGTTTAATGGTTTCAACCGCCTCATCACATGCCGTGTAGTCAAACACCGTTGCGTTTCAAATAGCTACTTACAAGTCACATTAATTTTTATTATGCAAACCCAACATTTGGTTTGACTCCCTCGAATTCAGATCTTATTCACGAGACCTACTTCTCAAGGCGTTCCCACGCGATGCACATTCTACCTGAAGAAACCAGTGAGACTAAAATGTACCCTGAGATGTTTAGCACCACCAGTTAAGCCTACTGGTATAAAATTTGAGGAGAGCCATCCCACTCACAGCTGGGGCTGGGGACCCCATGCCAACAGCTACAGGAATTCACATGGACGACAGAGAGCTCTCGGAAGGTACTGCTGCATTCGTAACGAGAAAAGCCACAAATGAGGAAATTAAAGAGGGCTAGCAAAGATTAATTCTATTCCTTTAGAGGAAGTACAGTGGCAGGGTAAAGGAAGGTGGCCTGGACCACAAATCGGGAAACCCACACTGAGGTGTGCACCCACAGGGCGTGCCTGCACCAGACGTGGGCTCTAGGCTTCCCACCTGGTCTGCAGGCCACACGAGAGCCAGAGCACAGGCCCCTGTGGTCCAGCCAATGCCAACAGGTGGGGACTTCAAACATCATCTTCATCTAGCTGCAACACGAGCCATTATACTTAAGCCATGAAAAAAAAAAAATTAACACGTGAAAATATTTTTATATAACAAAGATAAAAGTTAACAGATAACAACTTCACCTCCTTTACTCGTATTTGTGCTGTTTACTTGTAGAAATTTCGAAGTGCTTCATAGTGTTCTATTTTAAATGGTGTCCAATTTGCATTAAAATATAGTTTAAAGATGGGGCGCCTGGGTGGCGCAGTCGGTTAAGCATCCGACTTCAGCCAGGTCACGATCTCGCGGTCCGTGAGTTCGAGCCCCGCGTCGGGCTCTGCGCTGATGGCTCAGAGCCTGGAGCCTGTTTCCGATTCTGTGTCTCCCTCTCTCTCTGCCCCTCCCCTGTTCATGCTCTGTCTCTCTCTGTCGCAAAAATAAATAAACGTTGAAAAAAAATTTTTTAAATAAAAAAATATATATATAGTTTAAAGAAATACACAGGCAAAGCAAGGTATTTCCAAGTTTAAATTAAGGTCCAGGATTTCAGAGAGGAAAACTAATCAAACTATAAACATAATCAAGGGAAAATTAAAGACCTGCAGTGAAGGCCAAGAGGACTCTGGTCCCGCGCAACCACTGTGGCAATAAGAAAATAAGAGCCAGGAAGTCTGCTTTTAAAACTTAAGAACTTGAGGCGTCCCTGGGTGGCTCAGCCGGTTAGGCGTCTGACTTCCACTGGGGTCGTAATCTCCTGGTTTGTGGGTTCCAGCCCCGCACTGGGCTCTGTGCTGACAGCTCAGAGCCAGGCGCCTGCTTCGGATTCGGTGTCTCCTCTCTCTCTCTCTCTCTGCCCCTCGTCCACTCACACTCTCTCTCTCTCTCTCTCTCTGTCCCTCAAAAATGAAATAAATGTTTAAAAAAATTTAAAAAAAAAACCTTAAAAACTTGAATACCTGTACTTTCCAAATTTCCCCAAAGATTCCTCCCTAAGTGTCAAAACCTGGGCTGAATAAGCTGTTTCTTCATTAAGTTTCAAGATTTCTACCTAATTGTCATTAGACACACCTACCTAGCAAGATTTGGGAGGTGGGCAGAGGCTGGCCCTCTGCAGGACAGGACTCCACACACTGGAAGTTTCAAACATCATGCAGGGGGTGACTCCAACGACTCAACAACCCCCAGGCGGATGGATAGCTTCTATCTGTTTCCAGAGGAGAAGTAATTCCTCTTGGGAGTCAGGGCGCCTAATAAGGCTCCACAGTTCCACCTGACGGACCATTTTTCACCTTCCAAAGGCAGTTACTAGGCGTCCTAAGTACACTAAAGTATGACTGCACATAATCTTAACCGGTAACGCACCTCTGTAGAGTTACAATGGTGTATGATGTTAACGTGCATGAAATTCAATACTTCTATTCTAGAAGTAGTGTTTAGTAGTATTAGTAACTCGTTAAAATGCCACCTTAAACTTAAGACCATTTTTCTTCCCTGTAATTTAAGCTTTACACTTCTGTGCAAGCTGAGTTGTTAGGACGACGTAGCTTATTGGCAATCATAATTTCCAAGGAGCCAGAATCCAATGTTGAAAATATTTCTAAATTCTAGCACACAGCTTCTGTCCAGATTTGGAAAGGTCAAATCTCAGAAGACCTCCCCGCATGCTGAGAAGAGCCTGCTCGTGCGAAGCCCACCAGCCCTCGGAGGGGCTGGTACCGTCGGGTGGTGTGCAGACTACGCAAGAACCCCGGATGTACAGGCTTCACTGTAGGGCAAAACACAGAAGCCGTCTAGAGAATATCTCAGCTCGAGTACTGTGAGTCAACAAAAGCCCGCATTCCAGTCGCCATTCTGGCAGAGTAGGAGGCCTCACCCGAGAACACACTCGTTTCTTCGCGTAACCATCAGCTTCGTCGGGCCCAAAGATCAGAAATCACCGGCTCAAGCTGCACAGCCCCAACCCAATGACGCAAGTGACCCAAGGGGCGGGTCTGCACGCTCTGCCCTGAACGTGAGCACTGCGCACCTTCCTACCAGGTCGTTGCAGGGGAGTCTGAGGGTCTTGACGGGATGTCCACGTCAGAGAGGAAGTGAAAGGGTTTTACTTGGCGCTTGTGGCTATCTTCGGGATCCTTATGATGGTCAAACGGCCTAATCGAACGTTTATCCTACTAAAGCTAAGTACGTTATTCGATCAACGATCACAGTCCTACAGATCTTTGAATAAACTACAGAAAGCACGCAGAGATCTGAGGAAGAAAGTTTTTAAACGTCTTCCGTATACTGACAGTTGCAGCTACGCCCAACATATTACAAGAATCTAGCACAATTAACGTGAAAAAAAAAAAATCCATTTGCTCTCGCAAAATAAGGCTTTCAACCTGAAAACTCCCTTGGAGGTGCCACAGTAAAGGGTGTTCAGGCCCTGGACGTCAAGGGGGGTGTAGGCTGGCTGTCACCCTTAGAATCGGTCTCCCCGGAAATGCACATGCGAGCAGGGGGGCCCACCCACCGGGCGGTGTAGGAGGCAGACGCAAAAATCACGCGCGGCTGCCCCCGCAAGCCAGCAGGGCGTGCGGGGGCGGAGGCGGGGAGGGGGGGGGGCCTCCACGCCGACTCCGGACCCCAGAGCGAGGGGCGGGGGCGGATTTCCCGGGGAGTGCTGCAGGAAATGATATCCAGACTCGGAGGGTGGATCTAGGAAGCGGCCCGGGCGATGGCCGGCGGCGGGGAGCGAGTGGGGGTGGGAACGGAGGATGTGGCTCCCAGGGGCAGGATGAGGGGGCGGGACGGCCGAACGCGGGTGCGCCAGGGCCGAGGAGGAGGGCGGGGAGGGGATCGCCAGCCGCTGAGGGGCGAGGGCGCGAGGAGCGGCCCTAGAGGAAGGGGGCGGCGGGGCTGGGGGCTTGGAGAGGCCGGAGCGGAAGCCCGAGGGCGGGGAGGAGGAGCGGGCCGGAGCCCCGCGCGCACTTACCCCACTCGAGGAACTCGGCCACATACTTGTCGCGCCGCAGGGCCGAGTGGCTGCACTCGGTGTACAGACAGACGAGCACGTCGAGCAGCGTCTCCACACTCAGGGCGCTCTCGTTGCGCCAGGGCCCGTCCAGGAGCAGCTGCTCCAGCTTCTTGAGCCGCACCTTGGCCGACATGGTGCCGCGCGGCCCGCTCCCAACGCGCCGGACTCTCGCTGCCCGCTCGGCCAGTCCGTCAGGGCGAGCCCTCGGGGGCCCGGTAGCCGCGAGTCCCGGCAGCAGCGGCGCCTCGTTGCCGCCCCGTCCGCGTCGTCGCGCCCCGGCCTAGGCCGACATCTTGGGCTCGGTCCCGGCGGCGCAGCGTCTGGGGCGCCGGGCCCCGCGGGTCCATGGGCCGGTCTCCTCCCCTCGGCGCC